CTGCTCAGCGCCGCTTCACTGAGTGAGTGGCGGCAGGGCACGGAAGAGAAGAGATCGACACTGTGCGACCAGTTCTTCTACAAAGAACGCTATGGATGTGGAGCTAGCATGTGGACAATGCGGGACCTGTACGACTATTGGGGCATCAGTGGAGCGCTGCTTCAGATGATGACGCAGGAGCAGGTAAGGCTACGGCGGAGCGGCGACAGCGCGCGCGCCCGCGCGCGGACGGGGATTCAATCTATAATCCCGCCGCCCGATGCGGTCGAAGCTGGGGCTCTGTTGTGTTGTTCTGCAGAATGAAGCTGTTTTTTTCAATGTCTGCAGGCTGAGAAGCTGCATGATCACATGAAGGACATGAACCTGAAGCCGGCATGGGTACTGCGCGAGCGGCAGCGCGCACAGGCGCGCGCGCGCAAGAGCGAGCCTGCGGTGCAACAGCGCATGGAGAGCGCGAAGGAGGAGCACTTGTGGTGGATCAGTCAGCTGGTAGAAGCCACGTGGACAAGAGGTGTCGGCTTCGATGACGGCGTTTCGGACAGTGGCAAACGGCAGAAGACGACGGCCTGATATTTTCAATTAGAAGTGCATGCAGCGTGGACGATCAGAACTTATAATTGTAAACAGAGTGTTAGTCTTAGAAACCGGTGTGACGTTAAAGTGTACGGCAGGAAATCGGGCGCGGGCGTGGTTTGGCGATTGTTGCAAACTCGAGTCTTATCTCTGTGGCACTCCTTGAAGTTCTTTAAACGCGCGGCGTTCTGACGATTGAAGATCGAATGTCGTCATTATGATCATCTTCAGAATGGGCGCCGGAAGAGGCGGCAGCGCTCGCCAATCTGCATAGTTCTTTGTTAGAAGGCAGCCAAGTTTGCTGTTCGTCTGCGCTGACGGAGGGGTGGAGGGCGCCGATATGTAACTGTGCCAAGCTGCGGCATGCGCGCCATCTTCATGCAAATTACACCTATTGGCTTATGTAATAAGGTGTGCAAATGTCAGATCAACAGCAGAGTGGTGAGGCTTGCCGTGGCGTGCTGTCATGGTATGAAGAGAGGGTTGTCATGTGATCCGGTCTGATTCTGTGAAAGGTAAGGCGAGCTTTGTTTGTGCTGGAAAGCTGAAAGACATGTGGGTAAATCTGGATGCATGGTAGCGCAGGAGTGCTTCGTCTCATGCTTATGGTTCGGATGTGGGTGTTCACTGTGTTGCAGATCGTTTCTCTGGAAAGGGGTCACGATGGGGGAAGGTTTCGTTCGGCCGGAGACGGGGTGTGGGGGTCGTGTTGTGGTGCATGCCTCTTTATAATCTGGCTGACTTTCTGGCTGATGCGTTCTGTGGCGAATTAGGGTTACAAATACGAGCAGGGTGATGAGGAATATGTACCGAGAGATATTTCTACGCAGTGGAGCTGTTTCAGACGGCGGCCGCTTGTTTCGTCGAAGTCCTCACTGGAAGCTGGTCTAGGGGTTTTACGTTGTGTCTATGGTTTGAATAGAGCACGAAGTTGACGTGGGCAAGTGCGATCGGTGGGTTTGTTTTTCGAAGTATTATTCGATGAGCCGTCGCACATAAGCGGGTAGGAGGGGCTTGAAGAACTCAGCAGATCAGTCAATGCATACTTGGCCACTTTTCAGCATAACTGACCGTGCAATGAAGCACGAGATGAATGGTTGCAAGTTCTTCTGTGCAGGTGAGCTGTAAGAAGCTCGCAGCTGGGTGGCCGAGCATGGCGGGGGAAGCGGTGTCCGGGAACCCGGTTGAAGCGGCCCGTAGCGAGAGGGCGGATTCGGACGCAGAAGCATCCGACAGGATCGTCAGAACGGACCATGAGCCTCGTCGAAGAGGTCGGCGGCGGAGACGTCCGAATTTACGATGATTCGGAGTTAGCAGCAGTTTTGGGGGACGGGAGCGGAGCGGAAGGCTGGGATCCGGACGCGCCGGTCTTGGGCGAAGTCATGGCAGAGCGGCCGTACCTATGGCCGTTTCGGGACGCCAACCAAGCGGCGCGGGCCGGCTTTTTGGACGAATGCGCTGAAGAGTGCAGTGGACGAGTCTGTGTGCAGCTTATCGGCTTCTGGCTGTTTGTCTTGGGTCACGCTGTCCGGTGCGCCCGTCGAGACCGCGTCGAACAGTTTGCAGAGTTGTGCGTAAAGGTGATACGGTGCGTGGAGGGTCTGCTGGAATCGCGTGCTTTCTCAGTCGTCATATCGGGCGCGCAGTCGATCAACCGTTTTTTTCTGCTCGGTTATGTCGAGTGGATCAAAGGCTGTGTGGAAGGTTCACAGCTTTCGATTGCTGAAGCAATGGACCAGTACGCGCGCGTGATCGCGCGGGTGGGGGCCGACCGGTCGAGGCCGGAGCAGACGAGCCGCGCATGGCTGCAAACGACGTCAGCGGCGATGGCGGGAAGCGCGGATGTCGTCAAGCAGATCGAGGCGGAGCTTGTACAGCTCATGGCGAGCTCAACCATATTCCTGCAGCAGCGGCTGAGAGTGCCTAGTTTCGTTAGCGAACGGTTCGATCGGCGACAGCTCACAGGAAGTGTGCAAGTGCCCAAGAGATTGAAGACTTTTAAGACGAACCCTTCAGCCGCATCCGGGTTGCGTCATCTGCGGACTTGGAAAGAGCAGCAAGGCGCTCTGCTAGTGCCGCGTTCCGAGCCGGTTACGACGGGGCCGTTCGATTTCAAGGAGCGCAGCGAGGACGAGGTGTTGGCGCGGAGCGCCGGACGGAAGCGGGCACGGCCGGCGGCGACAGAGCAACCGGCGGACGGCGGTCGGCCGGCCGCGAGGCGAAGGATCAACCGCGGGGGGGGAGCTGGGTCGGGCAGCGGCCGCGTCGCCGCGGGCGGACGGGCGCGAGGCGCGGCTGAACAAACCGAGGCGACACGGCGGCGGAAGCGGCAGCGGCGAGTGGTGAGCTCGGATGAGGAAGGCGGCCGAGGGACGGACAGCAGTTTCGGGGTGGAGTTTTGTCACGTGCTGGACTTAATGATGCCGAAAATCATGTCGGAGTGGGCGTGGACGTTCGGGCTTCTGAAAGCACAGAGACGGTTCGTGGAGGGGCAGTCGTGGATGGGTGACGTCGAGCTTGGGCAGCGGATCAAAAACAACGGCTTGGTGGTCCTACTGGAACGGCTCTTCAGCGGAAAGCACCGCACGGAATGGGCGTCCGCCGGAATGTGGCTGCCGGGCTTCGGCGACGTCCGCGCTGCTGACTTTAACCGGGATCTGCGGCTGGAAGGTTTCTTGCGATGGTTTCCATACTGGCGTCCGGCGTACGTTAAGTATCGGATATACGTTTCGGTGCGTTTGTGAATGAGCGCTCGAGCTCTGCGTTGGACGTCCAGCAGCTTCATCGATTCATGCTCCAGTCCGACATCGGTGCCGCGGATCGCGCTCGAAACAGGGGGACGCTTTGGGACTAGGGGCTGCTGTATGAAGAGTTAGACGAGATGCGAGCGGTCACTCCGTTCCAGCTTGGTGTGTTCGCCAAAGCTGCTGGCGCTTTGGGCGTGCTGCGCGGAAGTCCACTGTTCATTCCAGGAACAGTGGTAGACGCGCTCTCGATGCCGGGGCCGGAGCATCTACGGCCCGGGCCTTTATTAAAACTTCTTAAGCGGGAGGGGTTAGCTTGGGTGGGGTTAACGGAGGAGATGCGCGAGATCAACGCAATCACGCTGAACGCGCTGGCGAAGCTCACGAAAGAGAGCTGCGAAATGGAGAGGGAAGAGCCCAACGAGAATCCGAAGCCGTGGCCTGCGGACAGGATCGACGAAGCGGAGATCGTGCGCCGCCAGCAGATGGCCGTCAGAGTCCGCGAAGCGCACAAGGGTTTTCGGCAGGAGCGCCTGAAAGACAGGCGCGAGCAAGGGATGCGGGAGATCAGAGGATCTTTGCCGGGGGATCCGAGTGAGTCGGACATCAAAAGTACGACAGAATGGCACTCAATGTCAAGCAGGTCGAAGCGGTACCTCACGGACTTTCATCTGATGGAGCCCACGCCATCAATGGGGGTCGGAGGCGAGCGAGCGGCGCAAGCGTTTCTTGGAGCAGAGGACCCAATCACGAGCCCGTTGCAGTCGAGGACGGCGGCGGCTGCGGGCTTTGTCCACAGCGGTGATGTAAATATGGATCGGCCGGAAACGGAGGGCGGCGGCGCGGAGACGAACTCACGTGAGATAGGAGCGGTTTCAAAGCGGGAAGATAGGGCGGCAGCAACGGTCCAGGGGGGTCAAGGAGTTACAGCGACGGCAGCAGAGCTGGCGAAGGAGATGGACTTGATGAGACAGGCGCACAGAGCGGCGGCTATCGCGGGGGACGATCATGAGGTAAGACGCATAGCTCCCGCACTCCAGGCGCTGCAGCTGCGGCACGAGAAATTGACGGACAGAGAGTTCTTGGGAACGCCAGTGGAGCCGCGGATCCATCCTCCAAATCACGCGAACGGGCTGAGCGGGCGGCCGGCGGAGCGGAAAGATATGTCGCGTCCGGGAGAGCGGATTCCGGCTGTCTCAGCCGGAGTGAAGGCGGGCGGAACGGCGGCCGGCAAGGGAAGCACGGAATCTGCCGATAAAGCGAGCGCGGTGAGCGCGCGGCCGGCGGGGCGCGAAGACCGGCCGCGCCCGGTAGAGCGGATTCCGGCCGTCCCGGTCGCAGAGAAGGTGAGCGGAACGGCAGCAGGCAAGCAGAGCACGGAATCTACAAATCCAGCGAACGCGGTGAGCGGGCGGCCCACGGGGCAGAAAGATAAGCCGCGCCCGGCAGAGCGGATTCCGGGCGTCCCAGCCGGAGTTGAGGTGGGCGGAACGGCAGTAGCTCCCCGGGCTGGGGGCGTTATGGCCACGGCGTTGGGAGTCCTCAGAGGGTCAGAACGGGCTTTAGGCAAAGATCCGGCGGAACGGGATGGGCGGGAGTCTGGGGAAGAGCCCGTTGCAAGCTGTAGGACGGTCTCGTGAAGTCGGCCGAGGCGAGAAGGTGCAGGAGCCCTGATTTTGGCACGGCAGGTTTTCGCTCCAAGATTCCTGACAACGTTGAGGCACACTCGTTGTTGACAGATGTCATCAATGACGTGGAGTCGACATGGGAAAACAAGGTGAGCGAAGCGTCGAGACCGATC